TATGTGGACATTAGATCAAGGGCAAACACAACAAGGGGATTGGACTATGAGCACATGATAAAAGCGAGAGCACACAAGGGAGGGGTGAGGATAGGTAAGACACCTAAAAAACTAGCTAGCATTTGTTGCCCTTAATGCAGAGAAACTAAAGCAGATACCTTAAAGCAACTGAGGCCAATAGGAAAAGGGGACCAGGAACTAGAGAAAAGGTGAGATCAAAAGAATTAACCTAGAAGGTAACACCCACGCACAGGAAATCAATGTGAGTCAATGCCCTGTATAGCTATCCTTATCTCAACCAGCAAAACCCCTTGTTCCTTCCTATTATTGCTTATACTCTCTCTACAACAAAATTAGAAATAAGGGCAGAATAGTTTCTGCTAGGTATTGAGGGGGGGGGAGCGGGAGGGGGTGGAGTGGGTGGTAAGGGAGGGGGTGGGGGCAGGGGGAGAAATGAACCAAGCCTTGTATGCACATATGAATAATAAAAGAAAAATGAAAAAAAAAGATTACTTATTTTGGGGGTCTCTATTACTTAAGTCACACCCCCAGCATAGTGCTTGGCAGCCCTTTTGTGTTTTTGTTGGTACTGAGGTTTGAACTCAGGATCTCATGCTCGCTCTACCACTTGAGTCATGCCCCATCCTTTTTTTGGGTGTAGTTGTTCTTGGGATGGGTCTCATCATTTTACATGGCACTGGCCTTGGACAATAATCTCCTATGTCTCCCATGTAGCTGTGATGATGTGACTCGCACATGACTCCATACCCAGCTTACTGGCTGAGACTGAATCTTGCTTTTTGCCTCTGACCTCAAGTTGTGATCCTCCCAATCTCTGCCTCCTGAGTAGCTGCGATCACTAGTGTATACCACAATTTATTTAGCTTATTTATTTTTTAATCATTCTGCAGTGCTGGGGTTTAAAGCCAGGGCCTCCTACCACTCCACCAGGAAGATCTTGAATGCCCAGGATATTATTTTTCATTATATTTAAAGTCTTCTGTGTGGCTGAATCTGAGCTAGCAGCTAATCTACATTCACTATTTTGATTTTGCTGATTTAAACCTCGATCACAAATGGAAATACTGAGATGTTAACAAAAAAAGGAGCTGAACTTGCACAGGTTACTCCTATCATGTCTAGCTTAATGACACAGAGTAGTAATTAAGAAAAATACAGCAGCTGGGCACAGAGCACACTATCACAAAGTACAGAGGCAGAAAATTCTGTGTCCTTCCCTTTTCCTGCCCCTACATATCAGGTCATAAAAGAGTGCTGACTTTCCTCCTCAAAGTATGTCATAAGACCTTCCTTTCAGAGGTGACCTCCCCCTATCCACTTCATCAGACTAGCATGAAATACACACAGGTTTCCCTATTTCTCTGAGTCATCACCTCTGAAGGCTCCTATGCCACCTAAAACTTATCTCAAATAAACATTTCTCTCTTGTTAATCTGTCTTCTGTTACAGTGCCTCAGCTGTGAACCTTGTGATGGGGCCACATTTATTCTATTTGGAAAACACTAGTGTTTAACTATGACATAAACAACTTTAAGAAAAGACATAATTTTGTGCTCACCTTGGCAGCACGTACACTGAAACTGGACTAACACAGAGAAGATTAGCATGGGTCCTACATGCTTCATGACAGCAAGTTTATGAAGTGTTCCTTATTTAAAGAGATAGGGAGGAATACAGAGAGAGGGAAGGGCATAATCTTGTAAACACTGTCTTTTGGTGACTGAACTTCACTGGGTATAAAACAGAAAAGAGAAAAATGTTTAGAATAGCTGTAACTCTTAAATCCTCCTTATCTTCAATCACAACCTTAACCCACCTCCTCGTCACTGCTGAACAAGGCAGATGCTTTCTTTTTGGGTTGCTCCAAGGGTTTTGCTTTCTCTTGACTGTGAGTTTGTAGAGATGATGTCTGCTTAGCAGCCACAGTCCCAGCCCCAAAAAGATTATCCTAGAAGAATAAATGACAGGTATGGAAAGATATGACAGCTTCATAACATAAAAGAGAAAATTTAAGACATTCTCCTACATCAGAGAGCAAAGTCTCCCACGACAGACAAAATGTAACACCTTTGGTGGGAACAATCATGAAATGCTAGTACATTCCACTGCACCATCTTTACTAATCACACTCCTGCCCACAGAACCAGAAGGCAAAGTTTGAAGAAGTAGGAGATAATGTGAGGATAAGGTAACAGAAGCACCAGGAGGAACAGAGGCCCATTCAATGTCCCTACTTGGTCCTCCTGAAGGCAAAAGTGCCTGGCAGCAGCCAGGAAGTCAAGCCTTTCTTTGTATGAATTATAAACAAGAGCAAAGGATATAAAAGCAAAGAATGAGGGAACTTTCTCCACCTTTTTACAAATAAGAAAGATACATATGTCTGGGGGGGGAAAAGGAAGGAATGATTTGGGTTTCTACTTAATTTTAAAGAGAGAATACAAAGAAATAGTTTACTAAATAAAATTACTGGCATCCTAAGGTCTGATTCATATAAGTTCAATGGTATTTGCAATTCTGGGTTAGGCAAGAACTGGTACTTTTATTCAGGCAATGGGAACAAAACCATCAGAGGACTTGAGTCTGAATTAGGATTGGAAAATTAACAGCATACTATAGCAGCTGCACAATGCAGAACTATAAAGATCAATGAAGGGGGCTTGACAGGAGAATGTGGTAAGGTAAGAAAGGCCATGAGAACAATGAGCTGGTGTCCAATGGGGACCTGGTGACAATAGCTAATATTCATTCTCTGCCTGCTCTAGCACATCGCACCATGCAAAGGTTTGCATTAGTTATTTGTGTCTGCTGCCATATAAAATTGTGTTACCTTTGAGCCATATTAAGATTGAGTAGGTTTAAGTCACTTGTGGAAGATTCAGGTTTGCAGTGATGGAGGTGGGTCTCAGCCTACAAGCCTGTGAGTTTACCCACTGCCCAACACTGTGCAAGGTAGCTAGTTTGGTCTCGTTCTTATTTCTTGCTCCACTTTGCTCTCTCCATCCATGGTGGCGAAAAAGGCAAGATCAGACATGGGCTTCTCTTCTCAGCCCCACTTTATGCAAAACATTCTTATAGAGATCATGAGGTCTAGCAGAAATTGACGCTGTCAGTATTTCTCAAAGGCAGAGTCTAAAGAATGAAATCTATTAAACTCTATTAAGAGTCTAATGTCCTCCTCATGAGCAGCTGGGAGAAACTGGGGATCACTGAAATGAAAACAAGACATATTTTTTGTTCTCTTAGCTTCACGTACTCTGACAGTGTCACGATCACCCTTTCTTCTGAGCCTCTGGCTGTAACAGTTTTCTACTAATGTATGATTTAATTATCAGGTGCTGCAATAACAATGTTTACCTCTTCATCTTCATCATCAAACAGGGAAAGCGAAGTTGGGAGCTTGTTGGGCACACTTTTTGGCTTACTCGCATTTTGAGAAGAAAACAAATCCTGTTGGATCAAGATTAAAGCTGCTGGTTAGCAGGACATATCAAATTTTAAAACATCAGGTAAACATAAAACACTAAAGATGAGGCTACATGGCAGCATGTATCTACATTTATTCTGTCAAGAGGAGAAAGGTGGGGCTGGCAGAGTGGCTCAAACGGTAAAGCACCTGTCTAGCAAACATGAGATCCTGAGTTCAAACACCAGTGCTGCCAAAAAGAAGATGGGGGAAGTGGCTAAGACAGAGCCCATAAAAAGGAGGGCTTATATCTGACTTGGGTGTGTGTGGCAGAAACCGCCTGGTGTTTAAGGAGAAGAGCCACAGGAATACAGGTGGTCTGCCTGAAGCCCCAGCCTTCCACAGCCACACCTGAAAGATATAAAGCAGGAGGTTTTCCAGTCAATGTCCTACCATACTAAAAAAAAAGAATGACTGTCTAAGGAACCAGAGCAAAGCCAGTGTGGTAGCACATGCCTATAATTCCAGGACCCAGAAGGCTGAGGAAAGGATAGTGAGTCTGAGCCCAGTCTGGGCTACATAAAGAGACCCTGTCTCAACCTCCTCACCTCTCCAAAGAAAAGCAAGAACTACAGAAACTCAACAACAGAAACAAAGGCTAGATTCCACAAACACTGGATCTATAACCATTTTACCATTAATATCCTCTCCTAAGAGTATGATGTTTCTTTTAAATGAATACAAATTAAATTCTATTTTAAAATGTTTGCTATTGTACTTGAACTGTGAGATATTCCAAACCAGTTAAAGATCTGCAAAACTAAAGAAATCTTGAAAATGATATAAAATGTTAGCTTTAAAGTTGTGTGGGAGGAAGGCAGGGAGAGGGAAGAGAGAGTAGTGAGTGCTATAGGAAAACCACAGTTGGGGAATGTTACCTGGAGACCAGAGGAGGGTCACCTTACCCCAGAGGTTAAAACAGCCAATGAAATAACATGTGATTATGTATGGGACAAGTTGCACCCACCCCCCATTCCTGTACCCTGATTTAAATGGTATGTAAGGAAAACTCCCTTTGTTCTTGGGGTTCAGCCTTTGGACTTGAGTCTGCTGAGCTGCTGTAGGCTTGATAAATGAACTTGCTTCCTGAAAGTTTTGGCGCCCTCTCAGTCTCTGTCTGAGACCTCCTGCAACATATCTGGCAGCCCACCCAGGATTTGGAGGGTGGTGTTTTCACCCCCTTGTCACTGGCTGACAAGGCTGCCCCTGCCAGGCGCCACCAGACTGTGCTGATCCTGGGAAGGGAGCCTCTCTCCTGGCGAGCTGAGGAAGCAAGTTCCAGTTGCACAAAGAAACCTGAAAAGGCTCAGGAACCAACCTGAGAGTCCAACTCATCAGACTGGTAAGAACCCACGTTCAAATTCAGGCCTGCTTCAGGAGTCTGATCAACTCTAAAAAGGCACCCGAGTAACACCCTTTTTGGGGGGGTGACACCATGTCTTTCAGGTTCAGGGAGCACAGTGCAAGTACTGTGCGGTGTGAGAGTGTGTGAAAGTGTGAGCCTGAGAAGTAGCCTGGTTACAAAGCAACTGTGGAGTCCTGATCCTTGGGTCCTTGGCAAATTCATATGGTCTAAGGTGAGCCCTAACAGGGTCTCCAAGTCCAGGGCTTATATGGAGTCACTCTGGCCAACAGACACCTAAATCCCCGTGAGGGGAGCAGCCGGAGATGAACAAAGCAAGTAGTGTTATATGTTTCCCAACTGTGTGCCACAGAGGAGGACCCCTTACCTCCTCTCCACAATCCTCATCCCTTCCGTCTTTGTCTCTGTCTAGACATCTAGCAAACGGGAGAAATGCGAGGAGGTCAGAGTAAGAACACTGCCCCTTAGAACTTTAAGAAGGGATTTAATGGAGATTATGGGGTCAAACTGACTCCTGACAAGCTTAGGACCTTCTGTGAAATAAACTGGCCTGCTTTTGATGTAGGATGGCCCTCGGAGGGGTCATTAGATAAGGTCAATAACTCAAAAACTCAACAGAATTTTTAAAGTGGTTGTAGGGGAGCCTGAAACACTCAGATGGTTCCTTATATTGACTGCTGGCAGGATGCAGTCCTCAATCAGCCCACATGGCTTAAAGCCCCACCTGGAGAAAGCATGTAAAGTTATGGTAGCCAGGGCAGCAGTAGCTTCCAAGTACAGGGAAAAATGTAAAAAGCCAAAATAAAACCCATATTGGTGGGGGACCCTGAGGAGGAGTCCCTGGCCCCTTATGTGCCACTGTACAGTTCAGAGAATTTCTAGGAGCTGCAGGTTTCTGCAGGATCTGGATCCCCAATTACTCTCTCTGCAAAACCCCTTTATGAAGCCACAAAGGGGAGAGAGTGAAAACCCATGGTATGGTGAGAGGAAAAAAAGACCTTTAAAAAGAATTAAGAGGGCACTCACAAATGCCCCTGCTCTGGGCCTGCCAGATATGATGAAGCCCTCCTTCCTACATGTACATGAGAGACTGGAAGCTATAGGAGTCCTGACCCAGCTGCTAGGCTCCTGGCACTGCCCAGTGGCCTACTTATCAAAGCAACCTGATGCAGTTTCCCCAGGCTGGCTGCCCTGCTTGTGCAACCTGGTGGCTACTGCTGTCTTGGTGGATGAAGCAGACAAACTTACTTTGAGACAAAAATTTACAGTCCAAGTTCCTCACTCTGTTTTGACTCTCATATAATATAAAGAAAATTATTGGTTAACAAACTCCCAAATGGTCAAATACCAAAGCATGTTATGTAAAAACCCGCATGTCCAGCTAGAGGCTGTTAAGACTCTAAACCCAGCCACCCTATTTCAGGTTAGTTCAGGCCCACCAGAGCATGACTGTTAGAGATTATGGATGAGATGTTCTCCAGCCAGCCAGGCTTGACCGGCCAGCCCATTAGTCATCTGACGTTGAATACTTCACGGAAGGCAACAGCTTTGCCCAAAAAGACACACGTTTTGCCAGATGTGCAGTAGTGTCTCTGGACGCTGTCATTAAGAACACCACCACCACTAGTCGGTACTTCTAACTTGGGAAAAAATTGTTAAATATGGACGAAAATTCTAAAATTACTAAAAGCTGTATGGGCCCCTAAGTGAGTAGTTGTCATGTACTGCTGAGGGCACAGCCTTCACAGGAGGACTCAATGGAATCCATGGCATACTTCACAGACAGGCTTGGTTTGAGACTGAAGGAGAAAGTTTTCTACTGGACAGATAGTGGAAGTTTACTGATGTCCTCACTGATACCTGAGTCACTGGCTCCCACACTTGTCAAACAGTTCCATGAAGGAACTCACTCAGGACACACAGCTCTTGAGACCACCTTGGCCCAGCATTTTTATTTCCCCAAGCTCTCCAGCATAACTTAAGACAGTATATGAAAGGTACAGTCTGTATGCCAGAAATAATCCCTGATACTTGCTGGTATCTGTCTACACCTTCTCGGCCCTCGGGATGGATGAAAGCCTTTCCTACTCAGACTAAGAAAGCCCAAAAAGTGGCCAGGTGTCTATTAAAGAAAATCATCCCTCGATTTGAAATACCTGTGTCTACTGGGTCAGACAGTGGGCCAGCCTTTGTGGCTGAGGTTACAGTTAATGGCTAAGAGATTAAAAATAACTTAAAAGCTACACATGGCCTACCACCCAAGTTCAGGAAAAATAAAATGTATAAACAGGACTCTAAAAATTACAATTAAAAAAACTATGCCAGGAGACCCACCTACTATGGGATCAATCACTGCCCATAGCCTTGCTCAGGATTAGGTCAAGCCCCACCAAACAGATGGGTCTCACCCCTTTTGAAATGCTTTTTTGGCGTCCACCCCCTTTAGTCAAGGGCCTGTGAAGGGACCTTAAGAAAATAGGTGATCTCATCCTGAGACAAGAGATACAGGCCCTTGATTTAACTCTCTCAAAAATCAATGACTGGGTAAGAAACAGACTCCCTGTTAGCCTGACAACTCCCATGCACCCTTATAAACCAGGGGATGCTGTTTGAGTAAGGAAATGGAATATTTAACTATAAAGCCCCACTGGAGGAGCCCTTTTCTTGTTTTGTCCACCCCCACAGCAGTTAAGGTACCAGAGATCATTCCCTAGATCCACCACAGCTGAGTGAAGCCAGCTTCCCTCGAGTGGGAGTGCATTCCTGACCCGGTCTCACCATACAATATCTCCTTGAAAACACTAGCACCCTTCCCCAACAGGACTCTGCTTCCCAGGAGACAACAGGAAACCAGGGATAATGAGACATCAGCCCTGCTCTAGTCACTCTGGAAGCTGACTAGTCTGTGCACCATGGAAGCTTGAGGAGTCAGCATCTCACCTTTGAGGAGAAATCCGTTCTGTGTATTCTTCTTGCTAATCTCGGTCAACTCTCTACCTGGGGACCACCAGGCTTTGTACTGTGACTCATGTATGCACGCTACCTCCACTGGTAGTGCTGTTACCAAAACTTTTGACTTTCTGTACTTATTATTCTTGTGCAGGCACCATTGTTGGGTCATACATGCAGAGCCATACCACCTACTCAGTTTGCTTTCATGATGATCAATATATCTGTTTTAACCCCATCTATCGCCATCAAGAACAATGGCTAGAGGTCGGAAGCTTCACCAGCATAGGGAAGCTCGTTAACCGCACCCAGGGTATTGACCCCAACAAACCTGTGTCCATGTACTATGATATGTGTGCTGCAATAGCTGAAAACACCAGGCCTTCGGGTAACTGTGGGGGGCTAGCCTGGGAAAGGACCTACAGGTCAAATGACAAGTATATACGCCCAAAAGATAACAGTGGGACATCCGGTTGTGCATCCTACGAACAACTCTACTACCCTTTATTGGGGTTGTGAAAGGTGGGCAACTTGGCTGAAAGGGGAGGTCCATATCTCACAGGGAACTGCTGCACTTTTACAAAAAGGAAAGCAACCCCTGACTGTGGTCTTGGAGCCTGTAACTCTGTAAATTTCACTATTTTCAACCTCAATGAAACAGGCTGGGAAGTTGGGAAAACGTTTGACATTTTAATCTATAAAAAGGAAATAGACCCTGGAACTTTGCTGCATTTTCAATTCATCATGATCACTCATTAGCTGCTCATCATACCAGACCTTTCACTCCTTTTACGAGGAGATGCAAAGTGAGTTTCCCATCTCAGTTACAATGAAAAACCCGTTCCTCTCACTTGCTGAGTCCATAGCACAAACTCTGAATGTAACTTTACGTTATGTTTGTGGAGGAATGAATATGAGAGACTGTTGGCCATGGGAGGCAAAAAGAGCTAAACCCACAAGAGCCCTTTAATGAAACCACTTCCCCAGCCCCAAGGAGAGCACTTGGCTCCTAAAACCCTCTATTACTGGGAGTTACTGTATCTCCCATCCAAAAGGCCAATTCTCCACCCCGGCCGGGACTTGATCTGCTTGGGACAAAAGTTTTACAATGATGCTACTCAGGAGACTCAGTGGTGGGGGGCTCCCAGTCACACGGAGCCCCAGCCTCACCTGCTGGCTACAGTAGCCTGGAATAATCTCAATCTGAGTAACTGCTGTTTACAGATTAAGGACAAGATGAAAAAGCCTGCCCATGTCCCTGTACAGACCTAGAAGGGACAAAGCCCCGAAGATCTATTCGGGGGCTGGTTCTCAACCCTAGGTGGGTTCAAGACCTTGACAGGCAAACGTTCCTTGTCTTAAGAGCATGCCTGATAGCACCCTGCCTAATCCCCCGTACTGTGATCTTTCAAGATGATGCTCTTTGACCCAGAAGTGGGTCTGAGCATCAAAGGGGGGAATGTGGCAGGAAGGCAGGGAGGGGGAAGGCAGATCAATGAGTGCTACAGGAAAACCAGAGTTGGGGAATGTTACCTGGAGACTAGAGGAGGGTCACCTCACCCCAGAGGTTAAAACAGACAATGAAATAACATGTGATTCCTGTATCCTGCTCTAAATGGTATGTAAGGAAAGCCCCCTTTGTTCTCAGTGCTCAGCCTTTGGACTTGAGTCCACTGAGTCGCTGCCGGCTTGCTGAATAAACTTGTTTCCCGAAAGCTTTGGTGCCTCTCAGTCTCTGTCTGAGCCCTCCTACAACAGTTGTGCAAACTGAGCTGTATGAATTAGAAACATAAAACAGGACAACTGGTCTCTTGGGCAGACTTGAAAATGTAAGGGCCAGATAATTAAACACAATAAGAACATACTTTCAAGAATTTTTTAGATAATTGTTTTCTTACAAAATCCAGTGACTACCTAACAAGCTCATCGAATGAGAAAAACTCTTCCAAGCACAGTGGTTTTCACCTGGGCTCTGTGGAGTCACACCGGTTTAGGTAGGTGGAGTCCACAAGGGGGCCCCAGGCATCTTATGCTCCTCCTGCATTTTATAATTGCCAAAAGAAAGGGCTCTGCTGTTTTAGGAAAATGAAAGTAATCTAAGCCTAAGATCAAAATCAAATTTCTGTATCACAATTTTGGATCTTTCTTATTGTTTGAGGAAAAAAAAAAGACATTTCCATTACCTCAAACTTGTCTCCCAGGCCAAGCTCTACACTTGAGATATAAGAGTGAAGAATCATTCTTTCTGGTTCAAAGCTTTATCTCTGCCTTGTTTTACTTCTCCTTGCCTAAGAATTCCAACAATATCCAGTAAAATCATTCACTCTTCTCATGATGCACACAGTACAAAGCCAAAGTGGTGGTTCTAAAACAAGTCTCCAGTTTGTTTATATTTCTACCATTATGAAGTAGAGTTTATGCCTTCTGCCTTTGATTCTGGGTGGTCCTCTGTGACTATCTCAACCAAATGTGGCAGAAAGGTTGACTTCCACCTGTCTCTCAGGAATCTCACATGGAGCCAATTAAAGGACCCAGATTCCTGAAGGTGCCATTCTGGGAGAACCACACAAGGCTGGGGAGAAGGCCCACCTGCCACCAGGCACTAGACCCATCAAATGACTCAACCAACCACCTTCAGCCATGAGAGACCCTTAATGACAATTGCCTGGCTGAGCTTAGCCAACTTCTAGAACCAGAACAGACAATTCAACCACTGGTGTTTTAGACCACTGCATTTTGGAGTGACCTGTTTCACAGCAATAAATGACCAGAACTCCAAGTTAAGTCACTGAAATCACTCACAGTAAGTTCTTTCGTGAACTCAACAATTATTTAGTAACCAAGTAATACCAAATACAGGTAGGGTGTTAAGGACACAGGAGGAAATGAAATATCCCTGCCCTTGTGGATTTTAATCTGTTTGGAGGAGGAGACAATGAGCAAGTAAACATACATATCACCTGGCGACACATACTGTGAACAACAGAATAGAAGAGGGGATAACGAGGACAGTATGGTGTGTGCTAGCAGCCTTCTCATGGGTAGGGTTGTCAGAGGAGGCCTCACAAAGAACTGAAAGAGTGAAGAAAGAACATTCCACAGAAGGGACAGAGCCAGTGCAAAGACCCTGATGTGTGGGCGTGCTGGACCATAAATCCAGGGCAGCTCCAGCGAGGGACAAATGAGGACCGTGAGGGCAAGAAAGAGTGTGGGCCCCATCATGCTGTGCCTCAGGGCTCAGGACTCTGGCTGACCTGGACTTTGGCTAATTCCTTTCTGTACAATACAAAATCCTCAAAGGTGTTATTTACACCAAGAATAATCTGCATACCTCTAAGAGTTACATGTACATCCTAGCTGTGAGTGCAGTCTAACCACAAGAACTTAACTGGGTCAATAATACCTTGAAATTTTTTTGTGAAGGGGACTTATTACTTCCTATTACATTTTCATACAGATCTCTTATCCCCTAAAAGGTGATTAGCCTAAAATTAGTTCTGACTAGCCTACAGGGAGTCAGAAAAAGTAGTGACGCTTCTGAGAGCCTAAAATGGGACTAGAGCCATCCACAACCTGTATTTAGTCACAACAAGACTGAGCTGAATGCAGATCAAAACTGCACCAAGCCCACTAGTCAGTGAGGCTGTTAATGAAGTGAGCAGTATGTTGATCTCCATTCTCATACAAGTGCCTCATAACACTGTAGACCTACAGACAGCCTAAAATCTGAGCATCCTAAAGACAGAGAATCTCACTCTAAGGAGATACAATGGAATCAAACCCGAAAGTAAAAAGTGTAGTATATGTATTGCTTTCTAAAGGCCATATATTTTCAAGAGATTATTTTCAAAGAAAGAGTAAATAAAAAGTCTTATACTTCTGCCAAGGAAAGAATAATTCAGAAAAGTTATTGACATATCTTAGATGAATATCCAGAACTAAGAAAGAGAATTCCATACCTCAGAGTCCTCCTCATCTGAAAATAAACCTTTTTGAGTCTTTGTTTCTGATAAGAGCTTGAGATTTTTGCTGGAGGATAGGGTAACCTGTGTTGGGGGAAGAAAAAGAATAAAAAGAAAATCTGAGGACTAACAAATAAGATACCTGGAAATGAGTTTGCTCATTCATTCAGAAAATGTCCTGAGCATCTGCACTGAAAGGATACCAAGCCATGCACCAGGGGACTAAAGATGCCCTGGACCTTAGTGTGTATAAAATTCATACAAAGAATTAACAAAACATGCATTCCTTCTGCTTCCTGGTTGCTATTACTGCTGAGTATCAAACCCAGGTCCTCATAAATGCTGGACAGCCCTCTACCACTAAGCCACAACCCCACCTAGATCTTTTATGACGTCTTTTATCAAGATTAATTTTCAACCTACAAGCCCTGAAAATGTTTTATTATATTTATATTTCTGAGGATCAAACCCAGGGCTTTACACATGCTAGGCAATCATTGTACCAATAAGCTATATTCCCACTCCAGGGTACTGCATTTTAGTTTCAGAGTCCATATGTTCATTCTTAGTATATGGAAATAAAATTGGTGTTTATATGAAAAAAAATTAATGGGAAAAGTATCATTAGAAAGAATTTTTAAATTGGCATAAGTAGAACAGAAGGTATGGCTTAAATGGTAGAGGGCTTGCCTAGCAAATCTGAGGCAGAGTTCAATCACCAGTATCACTTAAAAAGAAAAAAATACGTTGTAAGTTAGGAAAGAGAAGAGGGAAGAAAAAGATCTATTAGAAAGTAAGTGTCTCACCAGTCATGGTGGTGCATGCCTGTACTCCCAGCTACCTGGGAGGTAAAGGCAAAAAGACTGTGACTTCTGGGCCAGCCATGGCAAAGTCCCTGTCTCTAAAACAAAATACAAACAAAAGGGCTGCAGTATGGCTCAAGTAATAGAATGCTTGCCCTAACTTCAACCTGCAGTACCAGAAAAAAAATTAAAAAGAAAGTTTCTCAGGATGGAAAAAGCCTGGGCACAATGACATGGTATAAACAAGGCCATTCCCAGCACAGGGACCCACATAAGAGAAAAGAAAGATAAAGGTACATCTGTGTATCAGGGAGGACAAATGTCACATAGAACACTGAGGGGGTATGTGCAATTAGAGATGCACAGGAAGGCAGGCTGCCCTAGGGGCCTACCCGGCTCTGAATGCTAGGACTTTGCTGGTGGAGAGGGAAGTCAGGGTTTCACAGCAAGAACATCACATGATGAGACACGCTTTGGAAACAAGAATGAGCTGAGCAGGACAGCAGGGCAAGGAACAACAACCAGAAGAATTTAAGGACTGATGGGTGCCCCAGGCCACTTATCAAGCACAGGTCAAATTGAGTATCAAAAAAAAGCAAATGAATATAACACATTGAATAAAGAACCCATGCTTCCACAGCATTATAAAAAATGGGGGGAAGGAAGTAAGAGAGGAGAAAGCTCTTCAATTTAAAAGAATCCTGTTAATAAGTGTATGATATAGAATTAGAAAGACACTTTTGTGCAGCCTCACAGGATGACTGGTTCAGGAAACAATGGCCAGTGGATACTAAAACCACCAAATACAAGGCTGAGAGAGAACAGACATTCACAGTGCAAAGTATCACTTGTACATCAACTTAGTAATGATGGAAAAATGGGGAATCTTTCCAATGCAACTGCATGGTAGGCAGCATTTTAACCAACTGACCAAACTCACCAGGGTGAGGGGACTGGGGAACCAGGAGATAGTGGACTTGAAGGGCCTTGAGAAGTGATGCAACAGAGAGCAAACACCTAGTCTGCCTATTATTGCACCAAAAACGCTTAACCTAAATCTAGTTGTAGGAAAACAATTGGGCAAATTCACAATGTAATACATTCTACAAAACAACTGACTAGTAATAAAAAGCAAAAACAAAAACAAAAAAAAATTTTTTTTTGGTGGCATTGGGTGTTGAACTCAGGGCCTACACATTGAGCCCCTCCACTGGCACCCAGCAATATTTTTTAGATTAAAAGGAGACCAAAGAAATAGGACAAGCAAACGAAATGCAGATCACTGCCTGGATCCTAGACTTCTTTAAAAACTACAGTGACAAAAATGCTGAGGACAATTTGGGACAAGAGAAAAAAATTAAAATACAGACTATATATGAATTAATTTTAAATCAGTATTACACTTGTTGGGTGTGATTTTACAAAAACATTTTTGGAGAAGGGTGCCTGTAATCATAGTTACTCAGGAGGCAGATATCAGGAGGACTGAGGTTTGAGGCCAGCTCAGGCAAATAACTGGTAAGACCCTATCTCAAAAATACTAACACAAAACAGGGCTGGATGGGGTGGCTCAAGTGGCAGAGCACCTGCCTAACAAGCCTAAGGCCCTGAGTTCAAACCCCAGTACCACCAAAAAAAAAAAAAGACATTTTTGGGCAAATTGGAGCAATGTGAATATAGACTAGATAACCCCACAATAATTGATAATAGCATTTGGTTAAATAGCAGTTTTTTTCAAGAGACACTGAAACATTTAGGAGCAAAATGTCACAATGACTACAACTTCAGAAAAAACAAAATGTCACAATGACTACAACTTCAGAAAAAAACATACATGCACAAAGGTTCAGATCCATAAAATATTCAGCAAAATCCTATCAACTGCTGAATCTGGTAGTTATTTAGGGATTCAATGCATTCTTCTTTCAACTTTATGCCTGAAGTTCTTAACATAAACATGAGAGAGAGAACTGTACTTCCATCTGACCTCCAAGTCAATTAATAAGATGCCCAAATCAACTTTCTTCCCTGCTATTCCCTCCTGCTCACCGTTTTTTCTGTCCTTGCTTTGTTTTCATCTGTCTGACCAACAGTAGCTTCTGGCAAAGCCACTGCTTTTTCTCTGAACAGATCTCCTTCCTCTTCATTGAAGATACTGGCAGTGGATTTGACTTTATCTTTAAAAAGAAACCACAACATATAATTATAACCAAGGTCAATAGCCTATCATAGAGGGAGGCTGAACTTAGTACGTGACACAGGCTAGACAACTGCTCTGCCCCTGAGCTACACTCCCAGCCCCATTCCCTTGATATTTTTCACAGAGCACAACAGCAGTTCAAATGAAACAAGACAGACAGCTTAATCACCTAGCTGACACTTTCATCCAAGCAGCAGCAACCTATGCTGAGAATAGCTGGCACTGGCTTAAAAGGTAAAGAGAGACCTACAGACAGAAAGACCACTCTAGGAGTCTGAATCTAATCTAAATCTTGCTTTGACTATCAGAAGCTTGCTAGAAATGTAGACTCTTAGGCTCCACCCTAGGCCCATTCAATCAAAATCTTCATTTTGACAAAATCCCCTGGAAAATTCATCTTAGAGGAAAGATTACAGGAACATACTGACAGGAAGAGAAAGGAGAGCACCAAACCAAACAATGGACTGAAAATTCTATTATATAAGAAAAGGTTGAGTATACCTGGCAGAAAGAGAAGAAGGGAACTAAACAACTAGCCTGCAAATTCTGCTCATATAATTTACTGCCGGAGAGAAGACTTTTCGCTGCAATTCTAAAGGTCAAAACTAGAATTCTGGGAGAAAATTACAGGGGAAAACATCTCAGCTCTCCATAAGGAAAATAATTCTTAGTAACTAGTTTCCAGAGAAGAAAAGACTAGTCCATTAAACAGACCCTCCAAGGTCTCAGCATGACTTAAGTATAAATGAGACAATGACGGGAATGCTCAAGAAGGCATTCTAGAACCGCAAGAGAAAGCTTGAGCAGCTTTGTCTTTTTTAGGGCAAGATTCTTTTTCTAAGTTCCCAGAATCAAAGGCTAAAACAGGTACCTGTCTTGGGAGGTCTGCTGCAGGATGCTGAAAAAAAGTCATCACCGTCATCATCATCGAAAAGGCCAGCAGAAGCTGGGAGATATGGGCTTTTCCCTGGAGTGGGCTGCTCAGGCTTCTGGGGCTCCTTCAGTGATGGAGCAGAGGTGCCCCCAAACACATCAGTATCCCCTGTGGGTAAGAGACAAGGCAGACACAGCTGTCAGTCAGTGTGGGCCTCCTGAACACACAAAAACAAAACAAAACAAAACAGTACTTCCACCAAACAGTTTCAGTTTCGATTCATTCACAAATTACATTTGCAGAGCCAAATTATCTCCATCTGGCTCTCTGCTTCCTGCTTCTCCAGCCCACCTGGCCCACCTGGCCCATGTGGTCAGGTGGGGTCACCATTGTTTCTTGTGATCCCTTCTTTTTTAATATTTCCAGATCATGCTTCCACCCTACCTGGCCTACTAACCAGATGAGGCCCCACCATTCCTTTTTGTAACGCTTTTCCCTTACCTTTAATAAACTCTATTACCTCTCTTAATAATAATGAAAAAATCTCCATCTGTTCCTGCTAGAGAATGCCCCACAACACAGTCTCACCTGGCCACTCCAACACAAAGAGGTCCAAGGCCTCTAATTCCTACCTTTCTTTTTTGCAGTGCTGGGATCGGAACACAGGGCTTTGTGCGTGCTAGGCAAGTGACCTACCACACTAAGCTGCACCCCCAGCCCCACGTCCACTGGCTTCTAAAAAGAGTGTGAACTAACATCAGTAAATGAGCTCTTTCAATAAGCTGTCCAATGCCCTCTTAAGCTCCTGGCTACCTCCTACTATCCAGCAAGTCTTTAGAAGAGGACTGAACAGAATATGTATTAGTTATTCAAAACTGAATCCTCTATTACCTAAAAATACAGAAACAGCTCCTGCCGGGATTTTCTTTCCAGGTTTGGAGGATGAAGACTCTAGAATGAGGAAGAGAGGGATATAATTTCACAAAAAACATCACCTAACTTTCTTCATTAAATCCATCTTTTCTGTAGTACACGCAACATTACACAAATCTAGCAGGAGATGCCTTAAATAATATTTCCTAAATAAGCCATTTTTTTAAATCTCCTGATTTTTTTTTTTCATGTCCACCCATGCTAGAAGTCTTTCTGTGGGACTAACACAGTCTAAGCTGTGACTCCCATGGAAGGTCAGGCTCACTATGGAGCAGCTGGGGAGTTAGGGGCAGAGCAACAGGATCCCTCAGAATAATTCTAACTCTCCCCACTCCAGCTGGATAAAATGAACAATAAAAACAGCAAAAAAATGTGAAAGCAGTGAAAAACATGAAGACAGGAAGAGCAAAGGGGAAATGAGGCAAGGAAGTCACTGGTGTCTAAAAGTGGAATGCAAAATCAGCATAGTGAGCTGGCATCCCAGCAAGCCTGAGGAGGGTCCCCAACTCTGAGGACATGTGGCCTGGGATGCTGAGTTGGTTAAAATAAACTAATTCCCAATTCCCAAGAACTAGCTCAAACCTAACAGAGTAAAAGTTGTAGGTATTTTTAAAATACGGCGCGCTTTTTAAAAATTCCTGCAGGTGATTTTGACCCATGCCAGCATGGGAAATTACTAACTGTAAATTACATGCAGAATATTAGCAAATACTTCTTTGAATTAAATGTGTTTTGGTTAAAAATATCCTCAGCACTCTATCAAGCACTTCCTCCGTTTGACTTTTTATGAATTCTCCCCTAAGAAAGAGGGAAAATGGTGATGTGGGTTTGTATTGGTTCTGTTGTCCCCTAAACAAGAATTAGTGAAAACAAACTGCTTTTGACTAGTCCCTGGCAAAAACAACAGCTTTGAACTTAACAAAGAAACAAGGCTTGGGAATAAATAACATTGGGGGTTCCATCCCTGGATGGGAAAGAAACAGCTGTAGAACTCGCAAAGAAAACGCCAAGTTGGTTCCAACCCCAGCTTACCTTCACTAACAAGGGCTTTCACTTGCCGATTCCGGGGGGCTTCCCTGAAGAGGTCACTCTAGTTGTAATAAGGCATATGACAAAGAATCCAAAAACGCAGAGGTAAATAGCTGCATTGTAAAGAGGAGTACCTATATTTTAAAGCTATGTATTTACTGGTTTGCCATAAAGTCAGTTGTAAAGAGAAGAGAAGGGTAAAATAGACCCATAAATAACTTGGGCCTGTACAGAAAGTAAATATAAAGATGGAGGAAGGCAATAAGATGAGATAACCACGTACATTATTCATTATTAACACTCTTACATCGCCTCCGTGCCTAACAAAGGACATCAGGATATCATATTTCTCACTCTGTGGTTCTAAGTTCAACACAGAAATGAAAGTAGTAGTAACGTCTAATGAAAAGCTATTTTTCTCCCACTAACAGAAAAAGTGTATTTTTTCTTATGAACTCACAACAGAGAAATAATTCTCTGCACGACACTGACTCACCTCCTCATCCTCATCATCAAAAAGTCCCTGCCCTCCACTGAACAGGCCGCCTCTGGAGCCAAATGGTGAGAAGTCTTCATCAGTCAGCTTGGGAGGTGCAAACAGGTTGTCCTCTTCATCTAGCAAACAGAAAGAAGTGTTGCACAGGGAACCTTAAAGATGGATTTGGAACCCAAATTTCTGGGATTTACCCTCTATATCCGTGACATTGGCATGGGATTTAAACAACCGTATTTAACAAGGAGTATTTGAGGGCAGGCTGATGAATTTTAATAAAAAATGACTACAGTCTGCTGAGTCTCTTAAAGGCTCTCTGGGGTTTCATTCTGAAGCTGGCAAATGTATGAAGCAGACAGAGCAGATTCTTTAGGTCATCCCCCAGACTTATTTATTCTGAAGCACAGTAATGGCTCAATTGTCACATTTAAGGCCTACCTCCCCAAAAACCTAGAGGAAGGGCAAACTGAACAGAAATCTTGCAGATGGACACAAAGATGAGGAGCATGTAATGGCTATTACTACTATTTTTTTTTTGGTTGGTGGGATTTGAACTCAGGGCTTCATGCTTAAAAAGCAGGTGCTCTACCACTGGAGCCACACATCCAGTCCATTTTGCTCTAGTTATTTTGGAGATGGGGGTCTCATGAACTATTTGTCTGGGCTGGCCTCAAACTGCAATCCTTCCAATCTCAGCCTGCCAAGTAGCTAGGACCGCAACACCTGGCTACTACTACTTAATATGAAAGAGCCAAACACAGTCTTCACTGAAAACATTAGCAAGCCCTAGTTTCTATACCTCTAGAAAATTCTAGAAATACAGGTAATAACCACTATAGGACCTAATAATTCAAACGTTTATAGATATGCTTACTCCACGCCCACCTTTCCTCCTCAAACATGCTTTCAGATGTGGAAAAGTGAATAGAGACAAAGCCAACTTGCCAGCATTTAAAATGACACTTAATCAATTATGTAAACAACATGCTGGAGAGAAAAGGCTCCTAAAAATAACCAAATAGTAAAAAAGGCCTACCATCTGAAGGCGTTCTCTTATCCTTCTTCTCTTTCAATGTCTTCCAAGGTTTTGCATCTCCTGAGGATAAAGCTTGAAGAACAGTTCAGTATTAACAATGCTTAGTTCAGCCTCAGTGTATATGTACGCTTCTCTACGGGTCTGTATCTTCACATCTTAGGCTAAAATCAGGACATTCAACAATGTATCTGAGCTCCACTGGAGCACTTAGCTTGATTAGAGGCACTCCAAAGTAACTTTGTAAGGTAAAAGGCTGTGATCACATGCCAGGTCATGTACATACCAGGACTGTGCTTACTGAAGGAATTATGCTGATATCTATATCTTTCTACCCTTTAAAATAACTAGAATGTACTTAAAATGCATTTTTTTCCACTAAAAATACAAGAGTAGGGCTGGTGGAATGGCTCAAGTGGCAGAAAGCCTGCCTAGCAAGTGTGAGGCCCTGAGTTCAAACCCCAGTATCACCAAAAAAACAAAAAACAAACAAAAAAAGCCAGCAAAATACAGGAGTAAATTCAGGAGTATATACACATCAGGGATCCTTAATTCTCTGGAGTGCCCATGAACTCCCCCTAGAATTGCATGTAAAATGTTACAAAGATATGCACATGTGCATTTTTTTTGTGTGGCTCAGTGTCTAGTTATCACAAAGAGTCTACGGACTAAAGAAAGAGTAAGAACTGTAAGTTAGGCCTAACTGTAAGTTAAGCCTCTTGTGTCATAGTTAATTAGAAAGGGAACTGCACCCTTTTGAGGCCAGCAGAGACTACCACTCATTGTCAACCACCCCATTACCTTGCCTCCGAGATTCACCTGTCTGCTCCTCTTCTAGTCGGTTCAAAGTATCCCCTTTGATCCGAGCTGCTAGCTCATCAGCAAATGATGTAGGTCTTTTCTATGGGAAGAAGAAACCAAAACAATCACTTTTTTTTTTTAAAACCAACTAGTATAGTTTATTTCTGGACACCAAACAAAATTAGATCGACAGCAACAAAGGAATTTTAATTAAATGAATTTAAACCTACGCACCCTATAGAGATCACCAAGGAACAGAACTCAAAATACTGCTTCAAAAGAAGATAATGTTTTCTCTTTTTTTTTTTTTTTTTTTTTAATACTTCACTTTAATACTTGAAAATCTAGATAAGAAACCCAGCATGGAGCTCGGGGGTGGAGAGGAAGAGAGGAGCAAAACTCTAGAACTGAATATATTCTGAAAGATCTGACTTGCAAAATCTTAACACTGGGAAGAGGAAACAAGATTTGTAAGGCAGCTGGGAACACTCACCATTGTTTTCAAGTGTAAATGAAACTACAAATACTATATAAAAAGACAGCTACAATGTAAGTAACAATACAAGGAATGAATTATAGGTACCATTTCTAAAACCCTGCCAAGTGATAGCTACTACATTCTCTTACAGGTTTAATAGTTTCTTCAGCATCTTCAATATCTTCCTCCTCCTTCTCAGAGTCAGCAAAAAGGTCAGCATCATCATCCTCTTCCTCATCACTCATTTGTGCAGTGTGCTGAGATTATAAAACACCAGATTAGAACTGTAAGATGCAAGTCTTCAAGCTGAAAAAGAGACATAGCCACTATGTTTTTAGTCTCCCCACTAATAAAGGTAATAGCTTTTAAAAGTATTGATAATGAAGGCCTGGAGACATGGTTCAAGTGTTAGAGAGCCTGCCTAGCAAGCACAAAGCCCTAAGATCAAACCACCGAAAAAAAGTGATGATGATTATGATAACAATACAGCACATAATGAAGCAGTACATGTGCTAGGGCAAATCATATAAAAAAGTTTACTTAACAGAATGAAAAAAAGGACTTTACTCCTTAACAAGGATACAACAACAAGAACATTAAAGCAAGAAATTGAAATATTCAAAATGTTCATCACTAGAGAAGGTAAACAAAATAAAAATAGTCTTACTTGGACAGGAATACTAAGAAATAGTTAAAGGAATATAACAACTGGAGATCCAAGTAAAAAGTGCACTTTTTACTGGATCCAAGGTAGATGCAGTAAAAAGTACAAAATGATACATTCAGTTTGCCCCTCCTACACTACACCATTTGTGTGCACAGAGACATAGTTTGCAAAAGCAAAGACAAGACTTGGAAAGACACATTCCCAAACCATAATTCCAGTTAATTCTGGAGAATATGCAGAGAAGATGAGGATTAGTGGTCTTAGACTCAGTCTTATTTGTTAAATTCTAATTTTTCCAATTACACCATTTATATGTCTAATTCATACAGTTGAAGTTAAGGATTTCTGTCCCTTTTTTGCAATTTAAATCAATAAGCTATGCCAGGCACTAGGCCAAAAGTGTTCTATTAATCTACTTTAATCTTACAACTCTGAGATTAACTGTGGCAAACAAAACCAGTCTACTTTTAATAATAAAAACAGATGGGCAGGGCAATGCTTTTAAGCACTCTATTATTTGAAAAACTGTAAATAACAGATCTTAATAGTAAATTCCATAGGAGAAAATAGCTTCTAAAGAAAGACTGAGTATTAGACAGACCTAAGAAAATACAAGTACCAACCATAAAGTGCAAAATCCTTCATTTAACAATTGAAATTTTGTGAAAAATATTTCCCAAATCAAAAATTGAAATGCAAATTGAGATTATCTCAATATACCATGGTACACATACTACGAGAGCAAAAAATTTAGTTAAAAACCATCATCTCAGTGCTGATAAGCTTATAGGAAAATCAACATGCATGATCTGAAATGTATAAAGTCCCTGACACAGTCATATCAACAGACCCCTAAGGTAAAACTTCATCCCTAGGAACCAGTTCAGCAGAAGCACCAGATTTCTATGTGCGAATAAAACCCTAGAAATAAACTATTTCCTTTATACCTTTATACTACCACAGTAACATGTGTCAGCATGTTTTAAAAAAGAGGTTTATAAAATAAATTACAAACAAGGAAAGCACTAATGTTAACATAAAAAGAGTAGAAAATAAAATAAGCATATTATGAAAAAAATATACTCAAAAATAAGACAACTGTAATAAGTCAGTAAGAGACATAATTTTCATCTTGTGAGTATTCATTAATGTTTTTGCTATATTGCCTCATTTTAAAATGGGAAGTAGATTCACATGAAATAGTTCAATTTGGGTAACTAGGCTTTCTTTCAGAGGCTTTGTTTCCCAGTTTTGTTTTTAAAAACACTGAAGATAAATTACAAAGGAAAATTAGAAAACTATATACAAATGAGATAGTCTAAACACATGACATGCTGATAAGGAAAATTACTTATAAACTTGCAAAAAAAGCTTCACTTTATAATGTATCATTCAGAAGTAATTTTAGTACATATGCTATGCTTCAATTAAAATGTATAAATAAATCCACTTCAATACATGAGCCTTACCTGGTTTCGATCATTGTCACTGTGATTGGCAAAATCTTCATCTGATTCCTATGGGTGAAAAACAGCCTTTGTTGTTCACACAGGCTTTACTTGGAACACAAATTTACCAGAACACAGATTTTAGGTCTAAACTCTCTGAGGCAAGTTGATTCTACGTTAACAGAGAAAAAGCTGACGCTCAGTGTCCTACAATAACTACTGGTCACCTTAAGTATCAAGGTGCAGATAATGGGGATAGTTGGAAATGCTGCAAAGGATTGCTCAGTCTAACAATTTCTGTGGTTCATTTAAATGGGTCTAACAATTGTAGTTTTCAATTCTAACCTTCAGATTTAAAGAGCTACACATTTATTTAATCATCAAGTGTTTTTACATTTTGAGCTTCATTCTCTATACTCTTCTAAGTAAGATAACTGTTCATCAGACTCAAGAAAAGAGCATCTATATTTGCTACCTGTAAAGAGCTACACTGATGACTAATAATAAAGCATTCAGCAAATGGCTACCTGCTCTAGCAAGGTTACTTAAGGAAAGAAAGTTTATTTCCTACTGCTAGGTTTTTTGTTTGGAAGGGCTGGAAAAGTAGAAGAAGGAAGGGAGACTGCAGAAAAGGCAACGGATGAGAAAAGTAGGCACACAAAACTGTCACCTTTCAAAATCTCACATCAAGAACTATCCTTCAAGGTGTGTCTCCCCTTTGCAATAATGAATATCCCATCTAAAGTACAACTCCAGTTCCTAGCTCCCACACCAGGGAGTCAGATTATGCTTTATGTTGAAATAAAGATCCTAGAGGTAACAGCAAACTAACATGTAAGTAAATGCATTATGCATCTTCTGGTATAGAAGATTTTATGGTAACAAAGGGTTAAATACAAATATTTTTCCCTAGAATTATTCAAAGAAAGAAGATACTCAAACACTATGTTTCAGGCAGAGATTCCACCAAAGTATCTAATCCACTCTGTTCCTCAAAATTAATTGGGCAAAATAATTGGTGCAAGGTGGGAAGGAAGACAATGGTAAGAAATCAAAGCAGTTTTCCTTGTTTTTGTCTGTACATATGACAGAAAGGAATTTCACCCCAAGTTAAAAATTTAAGATTAAAGCTTCTATGGTAAATGGATGGAATTGGAGAACATCATTCTGAGTGAGATTAGCCTTGCCCAAAAGACCAAAAATCGTTTATTCTCCCTCATATGCGGACATTAGATCAAGGGCAAACACAACAAGGGGATTGAACTTTGATCACAAGATAAAAGCGAGTGCACACAAGGGAGATATGAGGATAGGTAAGACACCTAAAAAATTAGCTAGCATTTGTTGCCCTCAACGCAGAAAACTAAAGCGGATACCTTAAAAGCAACTGAGGCCAATAGGAGAAGGGGACCAGGAACTAGAGAAAAGGTTAGATCAAAAAGAATTAACCTAGAAGGTAACACACATGCACAGGAAATCAATGTGAGTCAACTCCCTGTATAGCTATCCTTATCTCAACTAGCAAAAACTCTTGTTCCTTCCTATTATTGCTTATACACTCTCTCCAACAAAATTAGAGATGAGGGCAAAATAGTTTCTGCCGGGTATTGAGGGGGTGGGGAGGAGGAGGGGGCAGAGTGGGGGATAAGGGAGGGGGTGGGGGCTGGGGGGGGAGAAATGACCCAAGCATTATATGCACATATGAATAATAAAAAAATAAAAATTGAAAAAAAAATTACAGCTTCTAGCACTTTTAAAAGTCTTATGAAAACAGATTGTTAATTCACAAATATGCTATATACTTAGCCTGCTAGGCACATCCTAACTTTCCCACTCACCATGACCTGGTCACACCAAACAGTCCTTACCTCCTCTTCTTTTTCTTCTTCACTGTCTGCAATACTACCACGATCACTGCCTACAGAACCTTCTGTCAAGAAAAGGATAAGAAGGCTGGGGGTCATGATTCAACTGGTAGAGTGCCTGCAGAGCAAGTCCAAGGCTCTAGATTCAAACCCCAATACCACAAAAAAAAAAAGATGAGAGTTAGTGCCAGTATTCACAAGAATACTGTGCCTAGTTCTTTGTCAAAGTCACAAACCACCACATAATACCACCACAGAGACTTTGATAAATCATCTATTTCTATTAAGTGGAATTAAAAGTACCTTTACTCCTGTGAGGAATGGGAAATGTAATCTCAAAGTATCTCCCCACAAGATAAAAAAAATTATAAATGGTCTATACTCTTTGAAGATGCTGAGGTCATGAAAAGCAAAGAAAACTTAAAAATTGTATTAGACTAAAAGATGACTAGAGAGACTACCTAGACTCCTGGGCTGAGTCCCAGAGCAGAGAAAGAAGAGAGAAATGGTAAAAGACATTACTGGGACAACCAGCAAAGGTGAGCATAACTGAAGATTACATAATAGAATTATATACCATAACATTTCCTAGGTTTGATCATTATACTGTGGCTATGCAAGAGAGTGTCTTTCTTACAAAATACACAGAGAAATATTTTCTGTGTGGAACTTAATGTTTCTCAAGTAGGTTCAGAAAAAATATTATGTATATAAAGAAAGAGAATGATAAAACATGCAGTGAAATGTAACAACTGGGAAACCTGGGTGAAGAGTCCATGTGTGTTCTTTCTCTAGTACAGTAATGTTAACATAAAGTTTGAAATTATTTTAACACAAAAAGCTCACATATATATAAATGTTAAAAGTAACAAAAATATTTGGGGAAGAAGATACCTTCACTAGAAAGCTCTCCAAGTCCTACATCTTCCTGCTCCATGAACAGTTTTGATCCAATGAGATAGGGTAAAGGACGATCGATGTACAGATCCTGCAGGTAACAAAAGAGAGCAGCATTTAAATTTGACAATAAAATCAAGTTTTCCAGTTGACATCCTGACCCATCTGACTACCCCAAACAAGGTACATAATAAAAGTGGAGAATAAAAAAGGCAGGATTAAAAGTAAAAAAACAAAACAAAACAAAACAGATTTTTAAAAGTCAAATCCCACAACAAAAAAAGAAAATTATAGACCAATTTTTTGATGAACACAGACAAAAAAATTCTCAATAAAATTCTTGCAAACAACATATTAAAAAGCTGATACATCATGATCATATTGGTTTCACTGCAGGGATGCAAGGGTGGCTCAACATATGTAAATCAATAAACAGAATACAGCACATAAATAGAATCAAGGACAAAAATCACATCATCATCTCAATAGATACATTAGAAAGCCTTTGATGAAATTCAGCATCCTTTCTTATTAACTCTATTTTTTTTTGTCAAGAGAATTTATTTATTTATTTATTTATTTATTTATTTTTCATTTTTCTTTTATTATTCATATGTGCATACAAGGCTTGGTTCATTTCTCCCCCCTGCCCCCACCCCCTCCCTTACCACCCACTCCGCCCCCTCCCTCCCCCCCCCTCAATATCTTATTAACTCTAAAGAAACCAGGAAGAGTTAGGAACATACTTTGCCATAACAAAGGCTATATATGATAAACCCATCACCAACATCATACTAGATGGGGAAAATCTAAACCATTTCCATGTCAAAAGAAAGACATGGGTGTTAACTCTCCCCACACTTAGTTAATAGAGTACTAGAATTCCTAGCCAGAGAAATAAGGCAAGAAAAAGAAATAAAAGGGATTTAAATAGGGAAGGAAAACATCAAATTATCCCCATTTGCAGATAATATGATCCTATACTTAAAAGAAGCTGAAGATTCCACTAAAAATCTTCTTGATCTTATGTGCACATTTGGCAATAGAGCAGGATGATATATAATTAACATACAAAATTCAGTAGCTTATACCAATGAACAGGATGAGAAAGAAATCAGAAAAACAATTCCATTCACAATAGCCTCAAAAAATAAATAAACATAGTATCTAGGAATAAACTAAGGAGGTAGAAGAATGCTACAATGGAAACTATAGAACCTTGAAGAAAAACTGAAGAAACATCTGAAGATGGAAAGACCTCCCATGTTCATAGATTGACAGAATTATAATGATGAAAATGACTACACTACTGAAAACAATCTACAGATTCAATGCAATTCCCATGATAATTCCAATGTCATTCTTCATAGAAATAGAAAAGTCAATTCTAAAATTCAAATGGAAACATAAAAGATGCTGAATAGCAAAAGAAATCCTGAGTAAAAAGAGCAATGCCAGAGGTATCACAATACCTGAAAACTTCAAGTTATATTATGGAGTCACAGTAAAACAAAACAAAACAAACAAAAAAACAGCATGGCACTGGCATAAAAAAACAGACACAAAGACCAATGGAACAGAATAGAAGACCCCGAAGTAAAACGGTGCAACTACAGTCACCTGATCTTTGACAAAGGAGCCAAAAACATACACTGGAGAAAAGACAACTTCTTCTTCAACAAACGGTGCTGGGAAAAGTAGATAACTACATGCAGAAGACTAGACTTCTATCTCACACCCTATTCAGAAACAAATTAAAAATAAATGGATGAAAGACCTTAACATAAGATATGAAACCTTGAAATTAATATAGGAAAAACACTAGAAGATAGAGGCGTAGCACTTCATTGCACAAGAAATAAGAGTAAGAATAGACAAATGGGATTGCATCAAATTGATAAAGCTTCTGAGCATCAAAGGAAACAGTCATCAGAATCAAGAGATAACCTACAGAATGGGAGAAAAATCTTCACTAGCTACCTACTCAATGAATATACAAATAGCTCAAAAACTTAAAACACCAAAAGAATAATCCAATTAATAAATGCAAATCAAAACTATACTGAGATTCCATCTCACCCCAGTCAGAATGGAAATCATCAAGAAAACAAACAAGTGCTGGTGAGGATGTGGAGAAAAGGTTACCCTCATACACTGCTGGTAGGACTATAAACTAGTGCAAGCATTACGGAAATCAGTATGGACATTCATCAAAAAACTAAAAACAGACCTACCTTATGACCCTGTCATACCACTCTTGGGCATATTTTCAAAGGAGTATAAATCAATACACAAGAGAGATACCTGCTCACCTATCTTTATAGCAGCACTGTTCATAATAGCCAAGCTGTGGAATCAGCCCAGGTGCCCAACAACTGATGAATGAATCATACATATATAGATAGATAGATAGATATAGATATTATATATATGTATGTATAATATATCATATGTATACATATCTCATATACATATATCTCATATGTATACATACACACACACACATATATATACATACACATATATATACATACCACAGAGTATTATTCAGCCATAAAGAGCAATGAAATCATGACATTTGCAGGAAAATGGATGGAACTAAAGATCACCATACTGAGCAAGATAAGCCAAGCTCATAAAGCCACATGCCACAGGTATGTGGTATGCTTGAACACCTATATATATGGCAGTAGCCTAATGAAACCCACCAAAGACTGTTTGGAAAAGGGGGAGGAAGAGGAAGGGGAGTTAAGGAAATATAATGGAGTGGGGAAACTATGTTCAAAGTAGCCTGCACACATCTATAAAACAACCATGATAAAAAACCCCTTGTACTATTAATGTATGCTAATAAAAAAAAAATTTTTTTTAAGGTCAAACCCTAGGTAAAGATGGCAAGGTAAAGCTAAATCCATCCCCAAGTACCTCAGTATCAAAAATGTTGCCAAGGCCTGCAAAAGTAATCAAACCAGGAAAAGGATACAACCTGTAGTAAAATGTTCCAAAGAAGGACCAAGGTCAGAAGTGAAATCCTAGGGAGACTTGATGAGTCCTACACACTCAGCTCTCCTCTAAAAAGCACTACCAGGGACCTCCCCAAATAAATATATGCAATACAAAATGTTTTATATAAACAAAATATAAAAATATAACAACTACTTTAACACATTAAAGTATTTTGAAAAGATGAGCAAAGTGGCAAAACTCTGTAATTTCAGTGCTCAGAGGCTGAAGCCTGCCTGGGTCATATAGAGAGATCCTGTCTCAAAACAATAATCCAAAAAAAGTTGGGCGGGGAGGTGTTTCTGCTCACCAACACTGCTTAATACTACCTTTATGTATAAAAATACGTATCATGAGAATCATCAATAACAGTCTAAATTTGGAGAAATAAACCCAAGTGGTATTCTCTGATTCTGAGAATGTAAATGGGCACATCAAAGTCAGGCATGGTAGAAGGGACAGAAGGAATCAGGAGGAATTTATTCACCCAGGAGCAGAGTAAAGAGAAGACCGGAGCAGCCTGAAAAAATGAAAAGAAGCAACACGACCAACTAAATATCTAGTTAGCATAACAAACTAAATACCCAGAAGACTGAAGAGGATCTCTACATAAGACAAAACAGCACAAAAAAAACAGAATAATAATGTCACTGCTCCCATTCCCAGGGGCCCAACTCTGCAGAATTTAGAAAAGTAGTATTAGTAAAATGAGACCAGATGATAAAACAACAGAATGTGATGAAGCATCCTGTACCTAAGACAAAATGATAAATATAGTACAGTAAATATCTGAACTGTCTTTACCTTTGGTTCAAGGATAAGTTCCACTCGCTCATTAGCATCATCTTCTTCAGAGTCTGAGTTTCCTGCTTTTATGTCAAGTTGCTCAAATGCACTGTCTAGAACGTGTAAACCATAGTTCACAGCCTCCTGGACTTTGGGAATCAGGTCTACTTCTTTTTGTTCCCGGGTCTTTTCCTATAAACAAAACACCATTCAGTGTGATCTCCAATATAATTACCCCTCAAGAAAATATAGTGAATGTTCTCCCAAGTCTAGCTTCATGCTCTAAAACACTCACAATTAAAATGTTAACAGAAGTCAGATTCTGTGGAGTAACGCTGAAAGCTTTAAATTTCAAGTCTGCCACTTTCTGGACTATATCAAACTACCTAAGATCCCAGAGCTCCAGACCCTTCATCAACAAAAACAAGTGCAAGTACTGAGTGATGGTTCAGCTAAGTTGTGTGAAACCTCAAACAATGAATGGTGTGTCACTTCACTACTGGAGAGTTAAAGGTCTAGATGTTCACATTCCCATCACCTTAGCTAATGGGCCCCTAGCAGTTTTAGGAGTTAAGAGCTAGAAGGAAATACTCTACATAAAGATGTTACCTGCTTATCACCCCAGAACAATGCTCTCCCTCAAGTCTGTCCATATCACCAACCTCCTAAAAAATTTCCCCAGGTCTCTACTTGCTACAACAGCTCTCAATAGTAGTTCCCATAAGTGTATAATCAGTTGTGAGAAACATTAAAACAAAGTCATTTTCTCTCTCACATATTTTAGAAGTTGATGTGTAACTACAGAAGGAATTAAACTCCCAAGCCAATGGGGAACCCTGTGAGTAAGTATTTTACCTCATGTACTGAAGTCTTTCTAACTTGATTTGTTTTGGTTGTACCTTTTGCTACTCTGGTAGGCTTGATTCTGAGTTCAACAGCTAATATTGTACTGAGTCTGTGAAAACATATTTCTGAAATACATACAGAATAGCTTTAATTTATTTTTGTGATGCTGGAGCTTGAACTCAGGGCTTTGCACATGCTCTCTACCACTAAGCTACACCCACAGCCCTGTGGTTTTTAGAAAACTGTTCACTAGATACCTAACACTTTTAAATTTAATGCTGACTTGATGTAACTAGATACTATTGCACTTAAATGGTTAGCAAATTCTTGAGTCCTATTAAAAACAAAGTATCTTTATTTTTCTAAAAAACAAAACAAAAAACCCTCTGAGAACAGGCAGAACTCTAGCTGGTGTCTAATATCCTTTCCTACTCTAACAGCTTCATCTGCTATAAGTAATAGATACTGAGAGAGTGCCAACCTTCTTAAGCCACTTACACCTTCTGAGTAAGTTAGACTGATTGGAAACTACTCCCATAACAAACAACAGAGAAGGAAATACCTCTGCCAGATCGCTAGGAAGTCAGTATGGTCCACAAGCTCTTGGCTACATTGTAGGCGCCAATGTAAGACCAGGAAGAATGCTTAAGCACCTGCCACTTGTGAAGTCACAGGAAAAAAGGCAGGAACTGCTAACCTGTGGCCTGGTTACCAAAGCCCGCCAGCACCCAGCCCGCTCCCCCTTTTCCTTCCTCTTGCTCAACCTCCACTATTTTCTACAAGCGAAGCCCATAAGATACCAGGCACATCCCCAACTCTGAACTTCAGCTCCTGGTATTCTGTTGTCATGAAATGTCCCCCTGCCACACACACACACACACACACACACACACACTCACACACTCAGTGCCTTAAAATCTAGCCCTTCTTTCTTTATCCAGCTGAAGTATCATCCTTGAGGCTTTTCCCAGCTATCTTACACCAGTGACTACTCCCTTGTGTGAACTTCCAAAACATTTAGCAGACATGAAGTTCTAACCTGCTATGTTCTGTAGCCCCAACCAGGACTGTAACCTCTTGGGAGGCAAAGTATCCTAAGTTACCAGTTCCCTGCAATCTTACTAGACAGTCACTAACTGTTCACTGCACAGTCTACATTCTCTGTACTGACACATCCTGTGGCACTCAGGAAGCTCTCAAACATGCACACACTGAATCCTCATTTATCTTATCATTACTTTGATTGATTTAACAGAAATAAAAGTCAAGACTGTCATGAAAGGATAGGGAAATTCAGTCTTCAAAGAATTCATCTATATATACCACAACCCAGTCTATAGCCTGTTTCTGTGTAGCCTTTAAATTAAGAATGGCTTCTAGATTTTGAAAGGGCTAGAAGAAGAAAAAGAGGAACTAAGGAGGGAGAAGAAGAAGGGGAAAGAGAAAAGATAAGTGTCCTATGTGGCCTGCAATCCTATACTATTTATTATCTGGTCCTTTACAGTGGACCTCTGCTCTACTCTTATTCCAGAATTCAGGAATTTAATCTACATATTACAAAATCTATACTTAACAGGCTAAATTTCAGAAATAAATGAAAAAATTCAATTGCACCACTGTTAGGAGCAGTGTCTCCCATTTTCCTCATACCCATCAACCCTGGTTCCATGCCACCCTACCCCACCCCCCAACAGTTACATTATAAATATTATTTTCCTTCTCTAAGTCAGGAACCCAAGCAAAAAGCAGTTTAACATAAGTACCTGTTCCGTTTTTTCTGCCTCAGCTTTGAGTACTGGCTCCTCCACTTCTTCATCATACACACGCTAAATATGAAAGGAAGTTTATTTTTAATGGGACAAAACATCATTTGAAATAAATCACTACATAAGGATTTAATACGTGGTTTAAAAAAAGAAAAGAGAAAGAAATGTTTATTCAGCAAAGGCTGAAGGTGCAAATAGCCATAGCTGATGCACCAAAACTTAAATTTAAAAAAAAAAAGATACAGATGACTAGAACACCTGAAGAAGTCCAACTCATGGTTGACCAAAGCACTGCAGAAATAGCGAGAACCAGCTGTCACACCTTCTTCGTTAACCCAATACATAATGCTGTTGGGGCAATGAATGAAAATCTTACATCACTCAATTTTTTAAATTCAATGTATGCTAAGTATCCCTTACCTGAAAGACTGGGACCTAAACTGTTTCAGATTTGAGCTTTTTTTAGATTTTTTTAATATCTGCATAGATTTTTAGCAACTGAGCATTCCTACTTGGAAAATCCGAAATCTAAAATGCTCTAAAATCTGAAACTTTTTGAGAGCAGCACCAAGGAACTCAAAAAAGGTACAAATTTCATCGTATTATTCAAGATGCTTTAACTGTACAATATACGTGAGATGTATTTAATACTTGTTACTTACAACTCCCTATCCCTAACCTCATCCTGGGAACACCTCCTTTAAGCATGATATACATGCTCCTGTTTCCCAAGGCCTTACGCAAATCTATACAGACTTGCGCACATATTCGGAGTCCTCTAAACGCACGCTTACCATACACATTTCTCTGCCTATTTTGCCCCTTCGACCACTTTCTAGGTCAATGCATATAGATTTGAGTCAATCACTTTAACTAACTCAAGTTTCTAATTGGTGAATATTAACATTTCCAGTTTTACCTATTGTAAGGTGTTCTAAACACACGTACACATGTATTCTTAAGCATTAGTCCTCTTCTCTCTATAGACTTCTCAAAATTAGGACTACCAAATAAGAGAACAAATCTACTCTTTAATCTTAATAGCTACTTCAAGATCACTATGCACAAATGTGTCACACCACAAATCTGCCAATCATTCTATTTCCCAAGACTTTGCCAGAAATGGACGATGTCTGACAATCTGATCAATGTTTTTAAATGTATCCTGACTCAAAAATTTAATTTTTACTGCACACGCAGATGTGGTTAAAAAAAAAAGAATTTAATTTTTGAAATCTAAAATTCTGCCAATCTGATCAAATAATGTTTCTTTTAAGTATATCCTTTCTGTTTTTTTGAAATTTAGTTCCAAGAAAAGTAATCACAAACGCCAACAGGATGCTCATGGCAGCAAAAGACAAAATATCAAGCTAATCCTCAAATTCACACAGAAAAGTCAACCACCAAAGATAAACAACCATGACAATTAGGAACAAAAAGAAGTTACGGAGACTTGTCTTACTAGGACATCTTAGACAAACTCTCAAGTTTCTTGTTTTCTGCAGTGACTGGGTATGGGTGGGGTGTTAACCAAGGGTACTGCTCATGCTAGGCAAGCACTCTGGCTGGCACTGAGCTATATTCCCAGCCAAGGTGTATTAGAAACCTGAGGAATTTAAAATAATGATACTGGCATACAGTAGAAAAATAGCAGCAAAGGGCTGACGTCAGAAAAACCTACAACTATATGGAAGCCTGATTTTATGTGTACACACTGACACTCACACACCTAAGTCAATTAGGAAAAGAACAGCTATATAATAAAGGTTACTTATATGAAAAAAAATGAACTCTACACCCCCATCATATATCATATATATAATATCATATATACATATGCATTAACACATATCCACAGATATATACACTTCAGATATAAAAAATAAAAAGGCAAAGATACAAGGAATCCCTCACCTAAAATATTTATTGTCAAGGGGAAAAAGGTGTATGTGGTGGGGGGAAGGAGTTGGTGCCTTTGAAGCAACTACAGTAAAATACTTCAATCTACTAATGTTAGATACTGCATATTCTTAGCATTTGTGGTTATTCTCTGAACTTTTGTATATATGTGAAATATTTCATTAAAAATGGTATTAGAGGATTATTAAAAGTAATGACATAGCTCCTGTAACAGTAAGGTAAAAAATAAATTCACAAAAGTCTCAAAGATGTGTTTTCTTAAGTTAGCATTAAGAAAAATGCAGGCTACAAATACACACACAGTCATCTAGACTAGAAAGAAATACAACAAAATGGTCACTGGCTGCTAACTTAGGGGTTGTAGAATTATAGTTGATTTTCCTGTAGGTTTGATTTTTTTAAAACCTAATGTCTGCATGATGATGGATTGAGAATACCTGTGTCAACACAGATTCTTCCCTCTAACTGATGAAATTTCAGATGATTTTTCATTTTCTTACTGTTTTCCCCTAATTGTCCTATAAAGATCAGAAATTAGTTTGACAATTTCTAAAGACAGGAACAAAAAAAAGGCAAAGGAATCTTAAAATTGAGACTTTAAGATAAGGCAGAACTCAGGTTACTTCAGAATTTATTAGCAAGACCATTAACCTAAAAGATTGAGCTTCCTGCTGAATATGAACACCACCAACACCCTACTTTTCTCTCTGCCTATCACTAAAAACTATCTCCCAAGACCATCAGCAGGTTGCAGCCAGGAAGTCAAACAATACATCTAAGAAACCCTGGTTTGCAAAAACTTAAAACCCATGAGAATTTTTGAGGGCAAGAAGGACTATGCATCTCAACTACTTAGCACACAGTAATCAGGGCTAACCTTCTTCACCCTTCTTCCCAAACTGACCTCACAGAGTCATGTGTTTTGTGATCATTATACAATCAGACAGCTATACTCAGAACTGTTAAATATCTTTACAATTTCCCAACAGGAACTTTCCCTCATTTGGGGAGAGGGGGAATTAGAGAAAAGGGATGAGGGCTAGGGATTTCTTAACAGAGTATACACAGCCCTGGTCTTTCCCATTTATGTGTGTTTTCACTCATTAATTCAAATACTCATGGAGTCCCTTAAGTATCAAGCATGTGCTGAGCCCTACAATTAGAACAATTAACAAAAATATGGGACGTCATTTAATAGAGGAATTCAACTCATCAGATCCTAACTCATCAGATCCAAAATCTTTAAACTTTAATTAGGATTTTGTAAGTCTGCTAAAGAATGTCATATGATGCTTCATGAGCTTTTACCAAGGGGTTTGCCTGGTACAAAAGTTCAAGGTAAAAGTAGTAACTAAATTGAGACCTGGAAGACAGACGGATGTCAATCAAAGGTACAGGCACACAGAGCAATATAAGCAAAGGCCTACTGGCAATAGGGCTCTCGGTGCCTTCAAGGAATAGGAAGGCTGCAGTGTTGAAAGTGAGAGACATTACATAAAATAAGGCTGGCTGTGGGGGAGCCTATGAAGGAAGTCACAGGCCAATAAGGCTCTGAGCTATCCACTACCTCACATGCACATTGTTGAGTATCTGACAGTTACTAAACCATCTGTCTTTTCAAAAGGTAGAAAAGGAAGCCGAAAAGTCCAAAACACTGATTTTATAAATTAACATGATAATATGCAAAATGTCTTTAAAGTTTCATTTTGGGGAAAAAATATCTTTTAATTTCACAAAGTTAAAGATTTCAAAACTGACTTTTTAAAGTTCTCAAGTAAGGAAGGTACCTTGTATCAAACTAATATCATTAACTACAGTGTTCGTATTTGGATAAAAATCCGAAATTAACAGATTAATAAAGTCTTAAGAATTGGGTCACCTTCTGATTAAACACTAAAACACCGGCCAATGTTAACTAGCATTTCTCCTCCTTCAGGGTTCCCTTGGGTCTTTATTAAAGGTGCTAACTTCTCTTGCCCTAGAAAGTCCTGACTGTTCTTGCCCTAGAAAGTCTAAACTGTTACAACTGTGTGACTTGTCTCTGAGGCTACCTAATAAAATCCAGAAACCTACCTGACTTTTAATAATTTTTCCAATGAACTACCAGAAAACCAAATGGCATCACCATTCTAGCCTGAACTGAGCACCAATTTAGGGTTTCAAAACTTCTACGAAGCCAAAGCACTGCTATAGATATTATCAGCAAGTAGGTTTTTTTTCAAAGTTCTAAGCATTAGCTGTTCTCTCAACATCATCAGCCACTCTGTCACAAATGCAAAGAATCTGTACCATAGGCAGTCTGGGAAAGTTACATCTGATATCCAGAGACAAATTCTGGATGCGACTGGATGAGGAAGAGGAATAGGACTTAACATTAAGGGTATGGAGAGATGAATGAAAAGCAGGAAATACACAGAAATGTACAGAAATAAACTTCTACCAAAACAAAACAAAAACCAAGCAAAATTACACAAAAACTAGACCATGGGAAAACTCAGAATCTAAGAAAACCTCACAAGAAAAGAACTGGAAAAAAGAGAAAACTTAAACACTGCAATTCAGAAAATCACAGACCCCTTCTTCTCCCTACTAAAGGTGTGATCTGGTACCAATGTAGTACCAATCTGATTCAGGCCATCTGGTACAAAGGAAAACCTCTCAAATCTGTTCCTTACCCAGTCTAGAACTGAACAGTGACTGCAGAGAAGAGCTGAGACCAAGAAAAGAGCTTCAAGCAAGAAAAATACATAATGTGAACAATAGTATTTAAAGGTACACCAAATTTGTGAAAAAATAATGGACTACATTCACCAGGGAAGTAGATTATGGACTCTCAAACTGACACATCCAGTCAGACAATTGCTCAGGACAACTAGGTCCTGTGTAGATGATCAAAAAATGAGTAGAGGTTGAGTAGCCCTAATCTGAAAATCTGAAATTCAAAATTTTTGAGCACTGACGTGACACTCAAAAAGTTTTGGACTTTGGAGTGTCTTAGATTAAGAATGCTGACCCTGTAACATCTATGCAAACATCCTCAAATCTGAAAAACTCTTAAATCTGAAACACTTCTGGTCCCAAGCATCCCAGATAATGGATAGTTATCTTGAGCTTATTTTGCTTGAAGATGTATTATATTTCAAATTCACAAGTTTCCCTTTGCCAATTAAAAAAAAGGATTGGCACAGAGATCTTTAAGACTTTAAGATTTTTCACAAATAGGTCTCCCAAAAAGGTCAGAGACAGCATTTCAGCCTGAGCTCCTAAACCAACATGCACAAACATGCTGCACAAATTACTTACATTATTGCTATTCTCTTAATCCTAAATCATGGGGGTTTTTTAATAATCTTGAAGTTTTGAAAAGTCTCTTTAGTATTTTTATCAATCTAAGTATATAGCCTATTAAAGAATTCTCATTTCAGAAATTAATGCTGATATTCAAAATGTAAGATACCCTTTGAGAAATACAGCTCAGCTTAACTAACCTATTCTTCATACCATCTTCACCCCTTAAGCCCAAGCACACCTACTTCCTTTCTGTTGTAGAATTATACTATTTACTAAGGTAGGGGCTCTAGCCAATATACTTACATAGTCCTAGTATCTTATAGAAACTCTACATGTAGACAAAAATCACACACGGTTTAATCAACACTCAATAACCTGTTTATAACTGATTGGCCATCATAAGAAAACTTCAGTTTTGAGGATAGTCCAAGTAGACATATTCATCACTTTAATAATTTATCAGAACACCATGAACCCTATCAAAAAGTGAAGCCACAGCATAGGGAGTCAGACCAGGTATATGGTTGTCCTTATAGAATGTGCTGTAACAGGGCTTGTTTCAATGCCACACAATTAATTCAACACAAATGTTTACTACTCTCAAAATTAAAAAGGGATAAAAATTGAGGGAATCTTACCATTAGATTTTTTAAAAGCTTGAAAAAAATGCAAACTTTACTAGTAAGAAACAAGCATTCGATTCTAGCAAAATAAACTTCAATTACCAAGAACCATATGTCCCCCAAAATTTTGGAGGGAAACTAATAGGCCATTAAAAACAATTTTGGGCTGGAGGCAAAACTGAGCAAGCAGGATCCTAGCTCTGAGTTCAAACCCCCGCTCTGCTAAAAAGGAAAAAAAAAAAAAAAAAACAGCTCTTACTCCCCAAAAGGTATTATTCATAACTATGATGTACGTAAGCACGTAAGCAACTCACATTCTCAATGAACTGGGTATTCGACAGCATAAGGAAGTCATTGAAGACATTATGCAGGCGACAGTCTGTGGCTTTAGTCTCCCGTATTAGTCCATCCACCTGCTTCTTGATTTCATGGGTCCTAGAGATAGTCTGCTGTGAGAATTCCTGTAGAAACTGTAGTAGCTATTTAAAAAAATAATAAATGTATATAGGGTCAATATTATATGGATCTATTCTGTGTCAAAATTTAAAAGAACCATATCCTTTCACCTTTTTGTGTGTTGAAATTTAAAAGGAAGGAAGCTTTTCACAGTAGTGAGATTAAGTGGCAATGTAAAACATGAGGACAGTTCATCAAACGAGTGGTATCGAATCAATGGTCACTTTCTATTCATTTCTAGAGGAAATGCAAAATTCTGTTTGGTTGTGGTCCTACAGGAAACAGACGAATTCATCCAAAACTCCTACTCATGTTAGACTTCGGGATTCAAGTTCTGAGCTTTCTGGTTCCCAAGCTTGAAGAGCCCCACTCAGGGATAACCATATACCGACTTATCTCAAGTGTCCTAGCGAACCGATCAGTGCCACCGCTAGGAAGCCAAACACAGAAGGGAGCCCCGCGTTTAGGCCGCGGTGCGTGAACTCAGTGGGTGGAGACAATTCCCCGTCGCCCACGGCCCGCCTCTCCCTGGTGCCTGGCTCCCCCGAGAGCGAGGAGGGGCGCGTGCCTCCAAGACGACGGCAGGCAGCAGGTGGCCCGTACGCAGGGGGAATCCAGGCTCCCGTCTCCCGCTCGCAAACCGCGCGCCACCCTGGCGGCCCGCCTTCCCCTCGCGTCCCCGGCCCATCTCTCACGCCCGCGTCGGCCGCCAGCGACCAGCTCTGGCTGCTCCTGCGAATCTCCTCCACCGACCAGGGCCGCTCCCACACGGGCTCGGAGGCCGGCGCCCGCTCCTGGTCCGGGTTCGTCCGGTTCATCTACAGCGGGAAGGACAAGAAAAAGAGCTGAGCCTGGGGACGGCGCCGGTCAAGTCCAGTCAGCCGGGCCCTCCCCGGCCCTGGTCGCCGCTCTCACCATCCTGTTCACGAGGCTCCGCGGGCTCCAGAGCCCCGACCCGCACCCCCTAGCGCCGCCGAGCTGCGGACGCCGAACGCCCTACTGCACAGCCCGGGCCTTGACGCGACTCACGTGAGCCGGAGTCACGTGACGGGAAACGCACGTGACCGGACGTGCGGCGTGGCGGAGAGGAAGCTGCTGCTGCGGGTATTGCTACTGCTACTGCTGCGGGTGGATCTCAAAGACCTACGCTTGCTCTGTTGGGCGGGGAGCTGGACGCGGCAGTGCTGGGGTGGGGAACGCGGCGAGCTGGGGGCGGGGCCAAAGCCTGGGTGATGAAGCTCTGGAATTGGAGTTGTGTGCTTTCCGGTAAAGGCGCTCAAAAAGCACTTTGTCGCGTCTGAAAACGGGTCACAAATATGTCTGTGGAGCTACCAGTCTGGGAACTTTGTCCCGTGATGCGGACGCAGGTGAAGGCCTTCAATACTGTGCGTCTTCTTTTGCTGCAAATCCACTACCTGTGACCAGGCCAACACCCATGGCTTGATAAATGGAGAGTCACACCCACCTGAGCATCATACTCTTGTTGCTTTATTTCAATTTCAACTCATTGTGTGGCTCTGCTTGAAATCGTTTACTCTGGCATGATCCTGAGATTCCAGGCCGAGCTCTCAGTTCCCCTCCAGTACATTCTGATTCTGTGTTGTATCCCACACCTCCTTGAAGGCCCCTTTCAAGTTGCTGTTGTGTCAGAACTTTTTAAAGTAAGCCCAGTTTCTTCCCATTCATATGTGCGCACAGGCAAGTTATGTAACTTGTCTGAGATATCCTCCTAAGATAAATGAAGCTATGTATCTTGCTGGGATGTGACATTTGTAAAACAATCGGGTGCCTGGCATATGATGAGCATTTACCCTAAATCTTACCATTTCCCCCAGGAACCTTGGACTTTCTTAAGTAGTCACTTATGCTAGGAAAACGTGGCACACCGCACACAAAGGAGACTCACAAGAGGCATCGCATGTCCAAAAGTTTAATAAGCAGGCTGGCTGGCCAAGAAAAAATGGCACAGCAGCTTCTCTCTGTGGGTCTGGCCTTAAGTAGCATTTGGAAGAAAGCAAGGGCTAGGGACAGGCAAAGGGAGGTGGCAGGAGATAAGGGACAGTGGGGCTTTGTTCTGCAAAGGATGAGACCAGCTGCTGAAGCAAAGTCTAGGGGCAGGCAAAGGGAGGTGGCGGGAGATAAGGAACAGTGGGCTTTGTTCTGCAAGAGATGAGACCAGCTGCAGCTCAGGCTGGAGAATGGTGGCAAGGGGCAGTTTTTATCAACTTAGGTTGTCATCTCATTGAAGACTTTCCTAATTATTCCAAGTACAGCTTAAGTAATTTGATTATTTTCTATATGTTTGTAAGTATTTTTCATAAAGTATTTCATTGTTATCATTTATGTATCAACCTCTTTTTTTTTTTTTTTGGTGGTTGTTACCGGGATTAGAACTCTGGGACTTGCACTTGCCAGGGTTATACCACTTGAACTACTCCCCTAGCCCTTTTTCTTTGGTTATTTTTCAAATAGGGTCTCCTATTTTTGCCCAGGCTAGCCTGGACCTCCATCCCATTTATGCTTCCTGTTCAGGTGGGATGACTGGGGCACTGACCACATCTAGCTTGTTTTGTAGAGATGGGGAAGGGCTCATTAACTTTTCACCCACTTCAAACCATGATCCTCTGGATCTCTGCCTTCAGAGTAGCTGGGATTACAGATGTGAGCCACTGTGCTGGCCTTATTAACCTCTCCTTTAATAATAATAATGTTTATGGTGTGCTCAGTACTTATCAAACACTTTATACTAATTAGTTCATTTAATTTTCACAATGGCCTATAAAACAGAGACTATCATTCACAATTTGTGGTTGAGGAAATAGGCACAGAAAAGGTTAATTTACTCATTGCTAGATAACCAGTAAAGTAGCAGAACCAGGATCCCACAATGTTAGCCACATTGCCTTCAAGTAGCCTCCCTGCCATTCCCCCACATTCACTAAGAAACACACTGAAGAACTGGGTTGCGCATATAAGTTGATCCAAATTCCAGACTTGCATCTCATCTAATGTCGTCATAGACAACTTTGTGGCTATGTGGATGACCCTGATCTCAATGTGCTTACCATCCTTAATCTACATCCCATATCCTGGACTTATGGCTTCTTTTTTTCTTTTCTTTTTTCGGACAGGGTATTGCTTGATGGGAATGACAAGCGTGCACCATCATGCCGAGTTTTTTATTGGTCGAGATGGGGATCTCTCAAACATTTTGGTCAGGCTAAACTTGAATCATGATCTTCCATCTCCTCCTCCCAAGTAGATAGAATTTCAGCCACACCTGTCTACATACAGTTGTTTATTTACAAACAACAGAGTACAACTGACAAGATCAAACATAATTTTCGGGAAACATACTGAGGTTACAAAACAAGGAAAAGTTAAGTAGGCACGATATGGGAAGGATATTGATAAGAGAGACTCAGGGCAATGAGACTTTGAACCAATGTTGTAAGGATGATGGCTCCAATCATTTCCCTTACTGTGTTTTTCTTCCAAGGTTTTAAATTCCTAAGAGAAAGAGAATCTGATTGGCATCACTTGGGTCATATTTTCACTCTTCTAGTTGGCACTTCACATAGAAAGGAAAGAAGTGGATTCCTCCTAAAAACATCAATGCTGTTACCAAAAGAGAAGGGATGTAGGCAAGCAAAAACAACAGCTTGTATGCCCCATTAGTCTCTGAAAAAACGGTACCCACTCTTTCCATAAGGCCGGTAGCCACCATGTTTTTGATGAGTCTGTTTCCTGTGGTACAGTGCTCCAACTTGGACTTCCCTTCCTCAAGGGAAGGATGCACTTTCAAATACCACTCCCCATGGGTTGAACCTTGGGCTTTGCACACATACTAGCCAAGCCATTCACTTTCCCACTAAGCTGAAGCCTAGCCGAGAAATCCTATGTTTGTGGCTTTATTTTTATTTTGAGACAGGATCTCACTATGTATTCCATGCTGGCCTTAAATTCAATATCATCCTGACTCAGCTTCTTGAGTACCAGGATTACAGGCAGGCATCACCACACCCCACTACCAAATGTTTTTAAGTAATACATTTTCATTGAATTTCTTCATGTTCAGTGAGATCTTGCTCTCCAGATTAATCTTTCCATCATACAATATACTAAAACTTCATTTATCGAATTTTGATAAGTTTACAAGAATTGGAATTTTAAATCCACAAGTATTTAGATTTTTTATGCTGTATGATATTAAATTACATTTCCACATTTATCTCACTTTATTCCTCAGTTATATAAACTCTACAAAATTTTACTACAAAAGGTATGCACTTTCAGCGAAACACAGGACTCAATACCTGAGATTATTTGGTAAGGTTTTGGGCTCTCAAACAAAATCTTCAGTTTAACCAAAAAAAAAAAAAAAATCCTTGTTTTTGTTTTAAGTACCCAGCCTCCCCTCAGCTCTACTACTCACCCAAATACATCAGAAGGCAGATGGTATGGTTTGAATATAATTTGTCCCCCAAGATTCTTGTGCTGGAGGCTTGGTCCTCAATATGGCAGTGTTTGGATGGTAGAACCTTTAAGAGATGGTGCACAATGGAAGGTGGTTAGGTCATGGAGGGCACTGCCCTTGAAAAGATGAATGGTAATGTTCTGGGGTGAGTTGTTTCTCCAAAGAGTAGGTTATGGTAGAACAAAACTGCCTAATGTGCTTGACCCCTCTTTTCATGGCTAATTTCTTTGTCTGTGTTGTGATGTAACCAGGGAGCGCTCATCAAAATGTAGGCACCATGCTCTTTAATCTCCAGGACTCTAAGTACCTCTTTTCTTTATAAAGTACTCAGTCTCAGGTATTTTATTATAGCAATACAAAACAGACTAAGACAGCAGGCGTCTTGCTTGCCTTCTTTGTTGTTTATTTAGTTATTTAAATTTTGTTTTTATTATCATGTTATTTTCCTGGGGTACATTGTGACACTTACCAAAGTATTTACAATATACCATAGTTGAATTTCCCTCCTCTGTCATTCTGCTTTATTCCTCCTCACCCCATTCCTGGAATGTTTCACCAGGTCTCATTTGTCCATTTTAATACATGAGTACATAATATTCCCACCATATTCACCCTCCATTGGTGCCAATCCCAGACAGGACGTATTTTACCTTCCTGTTCTCTGTTTTTGAAAAAAGACATTTTTGTTCGTATAAGATAGCTATACAGGGAGTTTCATTGTGACATTTCATAGATATATGTATTATAACCCAGGTTAAGTCATCCCCTCTATTTTTCTCCTTTCTACGTTAGTCATCTTCTTACAGTGATGTCAACAGATTTAAAAATTGTGTATTCATTTTCATATTAAAAGTACATCAACCATATTCACCATCTTAGCTTCCTTCTTTTACCCTCCTCTCCCATTATTGACATCCCCTTAGTGTGACCTGTTTTTCATAATATTGCTTATATTTATAATGGGTCTATATTCCACATATGAGAGAAAGGGGTCTTTGACTTTCTAAACCTAGCTAACTTCATTTAAGATGATGTTATCCAGTTCCATCCATTTACATGCAAATGAAAAATTTTCATTCTTCTTTGTGGCTGAATAAAACTATATTGTATATAAATACCACATTTTCTTAATCCATTCATCAGTTGTAGGGATCTTGGCAGTTTCCATAACTTGGCTATTGTGAATAATGCTGCAATAAACGTGG